TTGTCACGAGAGGCCTCTAGAATAATAAACTAGAAGCAAACATCAACAGGAATTTGTACAACACACACTGGATGCTGACTCCAGCTGTTGCCTTCATCACAGACCCAGAGGCTTTGGAGGAACACATTCAAAGTACTCTTTTGGCTAAAATAATTCGGAAAATCAACCCCGTCCTCAATAGTGGCTCGGTAATGGCATTAGCATTTATTGCTAAGCAACCTGTCCCTCAGAGGATGAAATGGAACAGAAAGCAACAAGAATTGGCAAACAGCTTTGTTGGCCTAGGCAGTAGTTCTGGTTGTCTTGCTTGAGTTCCACAGATGCCATAGCCCTCTTAACCAGTTCCCTCCTCATGCATTGAAAGCTGATTGCCAAATCCTGGAAAATAAGCACCATACCTGCTTGCTGGGGAGTCAAACTTGCAGAACCCAGAGTGTCGTACTGGTCTGGAATTTTCCTTTCTGTTGTCTTGTTTCTGATGAGCCGTACTGATGGCTAAAACATTTTTTTTTTTAAATTCCTTTGTATTGAAATGTTACTTTCTTGGGAATCCAGGAAAAAGATTAATAGATTAATGGAGGCTAGAGAATCTATTCTAATAGTTGAAGGAAGAATCAGGGAAAGGAGGAAACCACATGAGGCTTTTTAGGCAGGTATAACAGTTATGGTTGGAAAACGGTTGGAGTCTAACATTTCAAAAGAGTTCATTTCATGATAATTGTATAATAAGTGGCTGTGTCAGTCAACTTTCTGTCACTGATAACAAATACCTGAGATAATATCAACTTGTAATGAGAAAAGGTTTATTTTGGCTCATGGTTTGTAGATCAGGCAGGGATAGAGGGAGAATTTCAAGTCACCAGGATATGGGTGGCTGTTGAAGCCACGGGCTTGGATATAATTGGTGGGGAAATGAAGTGGGCCAGAAGATGGGAGTCAATTTTAAAAATGAGTCACTAGACTATGAGAGATGTGACAGGAGACCCCATTTTCCTGAAATACTCTGTACAGGAGATAGTGGGATCAGAAAAACATCTTATGGAATTTTCCTTGCTCTCATGAATTGGACATATTTAAGTGTCTGAACATTAACTTCATTTATCCCTAACCTTCCTTCTGAAGAACTTTATCAGTTTCCTGAATGTCTTTTAAAATTCCTCTCATGAGAGATGGGGCAAAAATGATTTTGTACATTTTCCTGAAAGATGAGAGTATTTTGAATGCAGACCCCCTAAACTTAAAAAGTTAGGATGAAAATGTTTTCCAAGTGCCAAGAACCAATTTTCATATGGACCTTAAAAATAGGGGTTCCGGTTGTGGGTGGTTCATCACTGCTCCATCTATTTCCTAACGTCATAAAATGGACCAGAACTGGACAGTATAAATGTCTTTGAGGCCCATTAGCAAGGTAGCCTGCCAAACTGGATGCTTAGTCCATTACTTCTCTTGGTGCAGGTTTCTTTTGGGGTCAGCTAACCAGGGATGCTTCCTTAGCTCATCTCCTGGGCCACTGTCGTCCTTTTTGGGTCCATATCAGGAAAGCACTGTTCATGTGTATCATTCATGACTCTCAATGCTTTTTCTTTCTCATTTTTCCTTGTATATTACTGCTTTTCCTTGAAGCAGTCTCCTGTTTATTTCAGCACTTACAGAAAGCTTTGTCTGTTGATTACTCCTCTTTGAAGTTTTGAGTTGCACTAAAATATTTATAATGTGTGGACAAGCACTTGAAAGGCATTTTAGTTTTCATAAAATGTCTCTCTTGATTTAATGAAGACTTTTGATGATAGGAACTAACATAGGGTTTCAGATGGAGGGTTGCTTAGCTTAGGGATCACCTCTTTTGACATCAACCAGCAATTATAAACTCATTAAATAATCAATCTCAGCTTTCCTCCACAAGGAGACCACACTGGACTCCTTCTTGTCTGTCTGTGGCCACCATATTGATAATAGGCTCAACTGGAGTACTCATGGATGGTTTTGTTGACTTTCACAGGGCTGGCTTTGGTTAGCACATGTGTGAGTGGAGGAGAGCCCTGGGGAACTGGAGTTCTTGTTAACATCTTGTGAACCAAAGGGGAACATTGAGCTCCATGATATGTCTTTGGATTGGTAATGGGAGTTGCTATAGACTGGACTAGAGGTGACAGCAAGGGATGTGGCATTGGGGTAGTCCAGGAAGCCTTCTTGGTTCATCTGATGGTAAACTCACAGAGGACAGGAATTGCTTCTATGTATTCTCAGATTCCCAGTCTGGTGAGGTATCTGGCAAGTTGAAGCCAATATACCTATTTTTTCAATGTTGCAAGTTGAGCTACAAATAGTAACAGGTTCAATAAAGATAGACCTGCTGCAAGGGAAAGTAGTAAAAAACGAGAAGAGAAGAGAAAAGGAATTCTCAGAACTAAGGATGGCTTTTGCAGTTTCTGTAGAGTCTCCATGTTAAAATGAAATCCAGAATCTAAGGCTAAGCATTTAACATCTGAAATAAATTGTGATGTGTGGACATGACTTATAGCTTCGTTTTACTGTAGCATTTCTTTCATATGATTGGGTTAACAAAAATATTCTAAATAAGAAATTAATTTGAAGCTTCTTGAAACCAAATAGTTTGGTGACTTGAAAGTGTATATCATCAGTTATGGATTGCATTTGCATTTAAATACCATTCTCCTGTTTCTCATTATCTTTTTTTTTAATATTTATTTTTTAGTTGTAGTTGGACACAATACCTTTATTTAATTATTTATTTTAATGTGGTGCTGAGGATTGAACCCAGGGCCTCTCAGGTGCTAGGCGAGTGCTCTGCCGCTGAACCACAACCCCAGCCCCATCATATTATCTTAAATTATACAGGAGAATGTGGGAAGACATAAGTGAACTATGCAACAACCAAAAGATAAAATGCCATATGGTCATTAAAAATAACATTTTCAAACAGCATTTATTGATAACGAAAATTCTCATCATATAATGTTATGTGAAAAAAGCAAGAAAATATAACTTGGCACATATGGAAACCCAAATAAATTCTTTTTGAATAAATGAATATTTCCTATAAAACCTTATATCTGTGCAAAAACTATGAGTGTATTAAATATGGATATGTCTCTTTGGCTCTTGAAGTAAAAAAAATCTTGGATTAGTGATGAAGAAAGTATGGGTATAATCCAAACTTTTAACTCTTTTGGAGTTGAGGTGACAGTTTGTTCTAGAATGATTCCTTAGAAGCTCTTTTAGATCCCCCATGCACTAAGTTGGGCTTAGAGACTGTCTGGACAAAGCAGCTGTCATTGAGAAGGATGTCACCAGACAAGCCTCATATGGTTCGCATCTCTTTGTCAACTGAGACTTGATCAACCTTGACCTCCCATTGTTTCCCATCATTTTATATGACTATCTTGAGTTTCTACCTCCTGAGCCACTCCTTGCTGTGGCTGTGTAAAGAGGCCTCTTGATTTATTAATCAATTAATCAGTGCATTCTGGGGAGCTGTTCAAGGTAGTTAAACAAGGAAAACAAAATGCAGGAACCCATAATCAAGATGGATCGTAATTAAGAAGGACCCTCCCACCAATGATCTTCCTGTCCACTTTGGATGCCCCACACCACCCCTCTCACCCATAGCTCAATACACCCAATTCATCCCTGATGAATTTTCTGCTCCATAAAAATTAACAGCAAATTTCAGAGGAGCAGATTTTCTTCTAATGTCCTAAAGGAAAATAACACTTGAGATGAGCCTCATCAATTATTTCTAACAACTGTTGAATCTCAAAAGTTCAAGCAGCCTATTCAACCTAAAACATACCATAATGATTTTGTCCACACAGGCAGGTACTATTCTCTATTGGATTCTATGTGACTCCTATTGGAGTCATTGAGCTGGAAGGACATTACTAACAAGGATAGGCTATAACCTTGTGTAATAGATTAGAGTATCAGTGAGATTAAGTAATTTGTTCAAGGTCACACCGAACTCCAAGGTCACAAGTAGCAGAACTATTCCAATGCCCAATTAATATTCCTAATGTTGTTTTTGGTGTGTTTCTGTTTTCCTGTAACGGTTAAAGCAAAGTAAACTAGAGACATAATCCTCATTAAATCCATTTTCTGATTTCTTTTAGGTATGTATTAAGTGTGGCCTCTGAACTAAAGATTTTTTATTTTCATATTGGTCTTGTTATATCATTCAGGTTGGTCTCAAACTTCTGAGCTCAAGTGATCCTTCTGCCTCAGCCTCCTGGGGAGCTAGGACTAAAGTGTGCACTACTGTGCAGCTCTAAGATTTTTGAAGAGTGGTTTTAGATGAATTTTTATGGGGAAAGAATCTTGGACTATTGTAATGGGTCAGGAAATCATATACATGGATACAGACAAAGGGTGAATGAGAAATACTAGTTAATCTTCAGAGGTTTGCTGTGCTTCTGGGGTAACTGACCTCTGGTTAAGAATCTGCTTTGGTCTGGTTTCCTTCCAATGACATTTAGCATATGGTGCTGATGAAATCAAGATTTTCTAACAGAATCTCTGTTTGTGGTCCCAAGTAGCACTTTCATCCATTACCAACTTTCTAGGCATAATAGGAACCATGGATCCACAATGCAAGTGTCCAGAATGTCTACATTCACCCTCCTCCACCATCCTATCTAGACAGACAATAATGTCTTCTGTTGAACACCTAAGGAGGGTCCAGGTTGGCTATTATTCTTTGGTGGACATAAGGTGAATCTGAAATGTTCCTATTGACTGGCCTGTAAGAATACTTAAAAATTATGTTTAAAACATATTTTGTTTTGTAATGCCTTTGAAGTTTTCGCTACAAAAATTCTTATATTTGTGTAATGTATTTGTCAACTGTAGACTCTTCTGCCCATCTGGTGGATAGATGCCAATCAAATTCTTTGGGTACTTTGACTCATCAACCAGACATCTGAATTGAGCTCATCAGCTTTGAGTTACAGACTCTCCTTTTTCTCTGTTCATGTGTTCTCCAGGATCCTGCTTTCTCAGCTGTGATTCATGACAAGCTCCAGGTCCCCAATACCATCCGGAAGGCATGGAATGACCGAGACAACCGCTGTGACATTTGTGCCACACACCTGAACCAGCTGAAGCAGGAGGCCATCCAGATGGTGCTGACTTTGGAGCAGGCAGCTGGCAGTGAGCACTATGATGCTTCACCTGGATCACCACCACCACTCTCCAATGCCTCCACCCTGGTGGGGTCACGGCATGGGGGTGGGCTCCAGCAGCCCAGGGATTGGGCCTTTGTGCCTGCCCCATATGCCACCTCCAACTATACAGGCCTTGTCAACAAGCACAGCAGCAAGCCCAATAGCCTTGGGGTCAGCAATGGGGCAGAAAAGAAGAGTGGATCCCCCACCCATCAGGCCAAGGTCAGCCTCCAGATGGCCACAAGTCCCAGCAATGGGAACATCCTTAACTCGGTGGCCATTCAGGCTCATCAATACCTGGATGGCACCTGGTCCCTTTCAAGAACCAATGGAGTCACCCTGTACCCTTACCAGGTAAGTTTCTCTATGAGCAAGGCCAAGCAGGGTTGGATAGAGTCAAGGTAGAGAATTGGGCAGCTCTTCCTTTATCTACCCTTCTGCTTTTGGGAGCTCCACTGCTCAGAGCCTGATGCTTTCATGTGACCCCCCACAGTGTTCTGATCCAACTAGGCCTGCCTATGTTGAGAGTGTATCCTCTAGACCTTCTACTCTTACCCTCTCTCTGCTCATTCAGTGTCTCCTTCCTAAGAGATCTTATTGGTCCACGTAGTGCTAAGGGCTTCCTAGTAATCAGGTTTAGTATAAGGAACAGTGACTCAGAGTATAGGACCTAGAGATATTTGGACTGGAGTCCAAGTCCTGGTGTCCACTTACTAGCAGTATGACCTTGCATAAAGGGTTTGTCCTAATTCAGGCTCAGATCTCTCATGAGTGAATAGAACAGTAGTAAGAATTAAATAAGGTTACATATGTAAGACATGTGCTTCAATATCTAGCATATGGTAAGAGATTGTCATTGTGCTATTAACAAAGATTTTGTTTTATTTATTTTTTTTTAAATTTTTTATTTTTTTATTGGTTGTTCACAACATTACAAAGCTCTTGACATATCATATTTCATACATTAGATTGAAGTGGGTTATGAACTCCCAATTTTACCCCAAATGTAGATTGCAGAATCACGTCGGTTACACATCCACAATTTTACATAATGCCCTATTAGTAATTGTTGTATTCTGCTACCTTTCCTATCCTTAACAAAGATTTTAGAAATTAAGACAAGGGGTGAGATTTTTGAGTCAAAGAATATGGTAGGTCCCTAAAATCAAGATTTTAAAGCGACCTGTGGAAAGAGCTGGACATCATTAAGAATTAACTATATGAAGGACTCCACTTCCATTACCTACATCTTCTAAATGTGTAGAGTTTCTTCCTAATCTCTCTACTTTTTTTAATATTTATTTTTTAGTTGTAGTTGGACACAACACCTTTATTTCACTTGTTTATTTTTGTATGTGATGCTGAGGATTGAACCCAAGGCAGACTGTAACCCTTTTCTATCTGCAACTCATCTTAAATTTTGTTGAGATTTAATTATCAAAGGTGTTTTCCCCCTTCTTTTCTCTTAGTTATATTTTCACAAACTTCCTTATTTCCCTATAAGATTATGAGAACAGATTTTAAATCTGCCAGAGAATTTTAAAATATTGTGCTGATTTTTTTGGGGGGGGTGGGTGGGTTTTCTCTGGGGTGAAAGTTGGGTTAAACTCATGTGCTCTGTGTTCACTCTAACCATTGTGTGGGAAGCAGCAGAGAGGTGACAGTTTCTGGTATGGAGAGGTGGCCATGGTCATGGGGTAGAATAGTCCAGGGAGGCAACTGGCATCATAGGTGATCCTACAAATCTCAGGTAATTTCTCACTGCCCCATCATCTTGGGTGTTGGGTGAGTAGCCTGCCACTGATACAAGGACTCAGTTTTCTTCTGTCAAATATGTCACTACCTTCTGGGAGCCTCAAAGTCCAGATCTTCAGTGAGATCTGGAAACAAGGAAAGAAAATGTGGAGGATCTCCCGGGGATTTTGGGGGCCCAGCCTGGCCTTGGTAGGGCTATATCTTGCTTCCATCCATATTCCAATGGCAAGAATCCAGTATCCTGGCCACTTTCCTGCAGAGGAAGCTGTGAAAGTCAATCTGCCCACGTGCCCAAGAGAGAAATAAACAAGTTGAGTGTATATATCACACAGTTTTGTTATAGTGGGCCAAGGTACATGGAAACAAAATGAATCAGATGTGGCTGATAAAATTCACGGTGATTTCAAGAGTATTTGAGAGGGGTTTAGATTGTGTTTTTTGATATCTTGAAAGAAAATGTGAAGCACTGATTATTTTTCTAAGAAGTCCGCATTCTTGGATTGCCAAACTTTTTTTTATTTACTTGGTACCTTGTAGTTTCAAAAATAGAATACACGTATCATTTTATTTAGCCCTAGAGCAGGCCTATGATGTAGACAGAGAAGATGTTAGATCTTCTTTTCACAGATGGGGGTTAAGATGCTAAGAGAAACTGAATGACCTGTGAAACCAGCACCAGTCCTTGCCTCACAGGGGGTTTCTCCACCCCATCTGCTTCCAGCTTTTCTAGCTTACCCCTGAGATATCTCCTGTCAACCTCTTTTCCAGATAGGAATCATTTCACACCAAAACAAACAAACAAACAAACAAAAAACTCCTCTTTTGACTTTTAGGGTTGGAACTGTCACTTGATTTTGGATGGAATTTTCTGGATAATTTATATAAATATAATAAAGAAGCAGTGGTATCTGGAGGAGGCTTTAGGATGTAATTTTGAAAATAACTGGGGGAATGTGTTAACCAGATTTCCATCACTAAAACAGATTCCTGAGATGATCAACTTCAAAGAGAAAAGATTTGTTTTGGTCCACAGTTTTGGGGATTTCAGTGCATGATTGGTTGGCCTTTGTTGCTCTTGGGCCTGTGGTGAGGCAGCACATCATGATGGATGCATGTGGTAGAGCAAAACTGCTCACCTATTTGTTAGGAAACAGAAGAGAGTGAGGAAGGGGCCAGAGTTCAGCAACCTTCCTTAAGGACACACCCCCAGAAACCTAAAGACCTCTCATTAGGCAACACCTCTTAAAGGTTCAACCATCTCCAAAGAGTGCCACCCTGGGGAGCAAAGCTTCAACACATGGGCTTTTGGGGGACATTCAAGATCCCAACTACAGTAGGCAGGAACAGAATATGACTTCCTTTTTTATTGTGGAGTGGTGTGGAATTTTTTTATTTAAAACATTCTAAATAGTATATTTTAAAATTATACATGAAACATATTTTTTGTCAAATAAAATTTAAACTATATGAAGTGTTCAGACAGACTTTAAAACTCAGTGTCATCCGGATGTTATAATTGGGTACATTTCTTCCCAATGTTTTATGTAGTCACATTTGTAAAATTATGATTAGGCTCCATTCTATGAACTGCTTTTCACCTAATAGTTGGGGTGCAGTTTCCCTTGCCATCATGTATATTTACCAAAACATGATATTTATTGTTAGCATAATATTACCTACTCTCTGAATATATTATATTTACATGACCAAGTATTGATTATGAGACTACAGGTTTTTGCTAGAATAAATGAAATGCTCAGGTGAACATTCTTCCACCCAGGTCACATTTCAGCACGTCCCTCAGTTGTGCTCATGTTACACAACAACTCACATTTCACCTTCTATACCCCACAGCCCTTGAGCATGTATCAAGGGCTCCTCAGAAGACGTAGCTGCTACACTGGTGCTAATGATGCTAATGAACAAGGATGGAAGAACTTGGAATTGGTGCTTTTGTTAAAAATATTCAAAGTATGGTAAAGATTTGTAGGAAGGGGGACATCCTGAAGATATTGCTTAAAAGGAAGATTAGGATTACTGGTGCATTTATTTTATTTTTGCAGTGGTTCTATTTCTCTTCTTCCCCTATCTCAAAGGAAAGAGAATATCTTGAATAAGAGGAAGTATTTATTAAACCCTAGTCAATTACCATGCACTGTGCTGGGTGTTGGGTGGGGCTGCTACCCTGGCCTAGAAACCCAGGTTCCTGGCCTGTGTTCCTCATAGTGAAGGAGAAGGCAGTTGTACTGCTCATTATGGGGCAGGTAGGTGAATGCAAAGGTAGAGAGATGCATGGCCTCTGACAGAATGCAGAAGGAATTGGAATCTATCCCGTGGGGCAAAGGTTGCTAGTATGGCTTAAAGCTAGACATAAAGATGACTCATACAAGCTACCAACTTGAGATGGTCCCAGATAAATTTTACTATCTCTTTCCCATTCCAGTATGGACCAATACTTGCATTTCCCCTGGGTAATACTCAGAGGGACCAGAGGAAATCTCTCTGGGATAAAGAGATTTGGGACCTGGCTATGAGTTAGTGTCCCCTATGTTGTGACCATGTCATCCTGATGCCCTGGGGGAGGGACTCAGGGTCTGGCCAGACTGAGTGTCTCCCGTTGTGGACTTCTCCCTGCAGTAAATAATCTGCAGTTCACAGTCTAGTCAGCTCATCAGAGATGGTTGACTGCTCTGAAAGCTGACCTCATTTTTCCTGCTCATCCATACTCCCACTTCCCTCCCCATAGAACACATTACTGCTGGGTTAGTGCCAGAGCTGTTCATGGGGGAGAGGAACCTCTAGACTTTTTCACTACTGAGGGTGTTGTTCTGCACCCAAGGAACCTGAGCCTGTAGAAGTGAGAGAGAAGGGGCTTGTCCTTCTGCCACTTAGGTATAGTGAGGATGAAACAGGGAGCCTGGTGAAATCTTCAGATGGATAACAAAAGGGTCCCACAAATCCCTCAAGCCCCCTGTTATCACACCCCTGTGCAATAATCTCCAAAGTTTTCCATAGGAAGACCATCTCTCTTTCTTGCATGTTTATAAAGTGCCTCCAGAAAACAAGAACCTATAAGATCACAGAAAAAGAGTAATTGAGGCACTGAGATCACATCAAAAATATTGAACAAACCACAATGAAAATTTCTCATGAAATATCCTAGCAAATTTATTTTATAGGAAAGGATAAGATGGGTCCTGCCGAGAAAAGAATTTCTTCTATTAACTTGCAGACATTTAGCACAATCATGCATGCAGAAATCAGAAAATGCTCTCCAACTGTCATTTTACCTCATGACATGTCTAGATTAGTTCCTCGTAATCATCTATAGATTTATTACCTCTTTTTGAATGGTGGTAGCTTTAGTCCAGTTTACACTCACTATAATAAATAGCTACAGAAAAGACTGTACACATATAACACTCAGAATCTTAGGTTGTCGGTGATAGAATCCACTTTTGTAAGATGGTAACTGGATTTTCCATTAAGATGAGAGGTTTGGAGACAGTCCTATCTGGTTCAAATCCCTGGCTCCGCTAACTGATGAATTGCAGGTTAGTAGCTTAACATCTCAGGTGATTTTAAGTAAAATCACAAGG